CCTTTCTTCACTTGTGCAACATTGATGTGGGGTGATTCTTACCCAGTCTGGTAAACGAAAGTAACTGAATGGGTAGAGATGCAATATGTTTCTATCTTTTGCAACTTCATTGATATCAAAAACAAGGTCCGATACGCGAAACAAGCTGTTTTTCGATAAATTCATCAAACAATCATTACAACTATCTAGGATTATTGGATCCCCCACCCTATGCAGCCAGAAGCAATTCGTTTGGGTCTTAGTTTTACCACGGCTTCGAATAAAGAAACCCCAATAGTACATACACCCTCGGGGGACCTGGCCGAGATGAAAATCACGTAAACAAATTTAGTAAACTTTCCGAACACAGTTTGAGGCGATCGAAACCAGATAGACCAATGATCAAATTACCCAGCCATATAATTGTAATGACCAATTGATGAATTTGTCGAAAAACAGCTTTTTCGCCTACTGGACTTTGTTTTCAATATGGCAATGGGCATTTCTTCAGTCTACCGAGGTTCATTTATATCCTTCATTTGCCATACTCCAATAACTATACTTCAATTATTATATATAGTTAGACCAATGAATAATATCGGTGTAAGAATCACGAGCCAGTCAAAATGGGAGAAACTCACTTCTTCCTCTCTCAGTGGAACATGTTGACAAAGCTCATTCTTTTTGTTCAACAACATAGTTCTTCGTCGTTCCCGTTTTCCGACCCCGCACGTAACGGAACATTGACTCCAAGCAGACCAACCATCCGTGATGCACAAAAATGTGGCCATTTGGGCCAAACTCGGGTCTGAAAGAGGATTTCCTTGGTCTAAACCTCCACTCCCGCCGGACCCTCCTCCACCTCCGCCCGACTTCGACCGCGATTTTTTCGGCAGCGTTCCCGAACTGATATCGGCCGCCAGAGAGTTGTCCAGTCGACCACCCGTGCCCGCATCCTGTGATTTGGCAATGTCCCTTTTTGTACAGCCGACAGCTTCTGTGTTCCCATCGGCTCGGAACATTTCGACACATTTTTCCACGTCGGAAACACACTGCCAAGATTCTTTGGGCAGAATACGATCCAGGGTTACTCGAGCAACGGGTTTGTTTGGTGTGAATGGGTGATTGGGCATCCAGTCCGCAGTGATGTACCGAATGGGATCAGGAACATCCTGTAACATTGGAAAAATCATAGTTTATAAAATGCGTATCAAAAGTGGAGAGGCAACGGGTTTCGCAAGTGAACTGAATGTTCACCTTTCGTATTTGAATTTCTATAACTTGAGCCATCTTATATGCCTACATTGCAGTCAAATATGTACCCTGATCGTCACATCGAATACAATTTACAAGTAAAAAACTCAAAATGGAAAATACCTCTCAGGTGTCGCATGCGCGCACAAATTTTGACGCAGTTTGTCAACAACCTACTGCCGGTTAGGAATTGGTGTAATTCTCAAAAATGTCAGTGCGAGCAAGTAGATACCGAATGAATGAGCGTGTGGACAGATGGAAACATTTCAGTTTCAGTTTGTACAACCATTAACCATGAACTTTCGTGCTCCGGTTTTGGTTGCTCTCTTTTAGCTGCCCATTTGGATGAACAGTAGGAGAGAAACGGTGGAGTTAAAATTAAATTGGGGGATTTCAGTGGACTAGGGTTGCAAAGAAATTGAGAAGATGCACGAACGCCTTTGGTTACGATACTCATTCACTCAGTGTCTCTAAGCGCCGGTTACGATCATCCCGAGGTTCCCATCCAGGGGGGCCCAACGGGACCTACGTGACCCAGACCCCTCGTTAGGGTTTTCATACCCTCATGCCAGGTTTTAGCTTGACCACCCTGGACTTTATTCCACCCACCAGATTTGTGCCACGCTGCGTAGACAACGGTGTTCAAACTCCGACAGGAGGATGAATCAAGGTTCAATGGGTCTTATTGGTTAACTGATCACATGAGTTTGCTATACCACGAATGTGTTTGAGGGGTGAATAAATTAATCGATATCGCCGATTCACAGCTGATTATCGCTATTCCACGGCAGATGTTTTTGGAGTCTTGCTCTTCATGAAGCCGGGAAACACTGCATGAGAGCAATAGAGTTAGTATATGGACTCCCTTTGCTTATCGGACAAATAACGAATTCTGTTGTTTGGCATGAAATGGAACATTTCCATCCCATGTTTGAATTGTGAAAAGATTTGCAGCTTCTGTATGATTCAAATCCACTCATGGACGTCACCTACGTTTTTGTTCAGCACACACTGTATTTGCTGAGCTACGCGGTCAAATCAACGTTACTGATCTCCCCCCCCCTTCAATTTGGAATGAATTATTGGTCTCCACCTGATAAGAATGAACCAATAATAATTCACTATGAGGCATTCACAGCTTCGGAAAATCTACGCCGATAAAATACATCAATTTCATCAAACGGAATAGTGGTCGCACAAGCCTTTTGGCATTGAACAAATAAACCGCGCTTAGAGGGTCCTAAATGTTTTATCATACACACACACACACACACAGTTACTTCTTGCCCACAGTACTGCATTTCGTGTTCTGGTTTTATATACCATATGGAACTGTGCATACTGTGTTTTTAATTATTTGGGGGTTCGTTAGAACAAACCGTCATGGAAAATATGCTGCCCATGTAGGGAACCGTAATGTGGTTGTTGGTTGTTCTGTTGTGTGCTTTATCTGTGTCTCTGTGTGTGTCTGTGCATATGTTTCCTTCGCCTATCATTCCGAACCTCTTCAGCGAGCATGGTAGACCGTGTTTTGACTGTTTTTCGTCTTCTGAAGATAAATAATATTATTGTGTTGTTTATTCACTAAAATAAATTATAAAGTTAACTATTACCATTGATAATGTCATTTTTACTTTACAGGGTGAGTGATTAGAGCATTAGTGATAGAGTGTCATAGATGGTTAGCACATTGTCCTGTGGTTCCCTATTCGAAACTCACTTCTTCTCTTCTTCCTGGGGATGCAATGGTTGTTTAAGTGAAAAGTACAATAGTACTATTGTCTATTTCTATTTTTATGACATTTTTAAACTGAGAAGTGGTAGAAAATATTGATTTGATTTGGCTGGATTTGCCAACCTATACTCTTGAGGGGCTACACAGATCATCTTGATGATACTGATTCTAAATACCTCTTCGATAGTATTTTTCATTTTCTCCGGATATCGACCGGATGTAGATGAAAGCGCACTCAGTACACCAAGATTCTGATTGCGTCATCGCACAGAGATATCTACCGGTCAGGTTAAGCATTTACCCATAGTCGTTGTGTAATAGTTTATTACCACACACACATCGAAACATTTCGCACAATGAATAGTTGGAACAACTAATTACTCCAGTAAAGGACGAGTTCATTCCTGCTACCAAAATGAGCTGATTCACGAAGTGTGCCACATCGATCATTAAACATCTGTTCGCCTGTTAGTATTCTCCTAACTCAGCTTTGTGCGTGTAACAGGCCAGTGGCAGCACGTTCAGTTTACAGTTAGATCCTCTGTACATAATGTGCTTGTGAGAATGTACCCAGAAAATACACTGTGCTTGATTGCGAACGCCACAAAACCCCGACTGTTATCATACAGGAGTTGGATTTTTCGATCAACCTATTGGAACAATCGGTTTACAAATCACGTAACATGATGTCCTAAAAGAAACGTAGATAGAATAGCTGGAGTTTAGTTGTGTGAGCACAGTGTACGAAAGAGCTTCAATCCGTATCTCCATACAGCACTGGTTGATTCCATACAGTTTGCTTTGTTTCAGCACAATGCTTGAACGGAATCCAATGCTCTCTTTCGTTCTCTCACTGTCTGCTCAATCGGGAACTGCATTTCCCGATGCGCACCTCAGCGAGGGGGTTGGGGAGGGGGAAGCGAATGTGAACTTTCACCGAAACCTAACAACAACTGACCGCTCGTCGAATGATGATGTGAAGCACACAGTCTAAATGCATTTGTGAAATTATTCCAACGGAACAAACAGTACGTTCTGAAACCGATGATGTTTATTTTAGCCGCGAGGTATCGGCATGCGCACTTCACGTTTGATTGTGAATGTGTAACACACACACACAAACACCTAACTTGGAGCGCATTGTACGGCATTGAAATGGGCATAGCCATACGGTAATAGGTAAACACACGGACCGGTCGTTTGCCAGTAAAACTGAAACAATTAGTCGGTAGGTATAAACGAAACCGTGGTGCTTCCAGAATTACGTAAACATAGACTGACTGAAATTGAAACCCAGCGGTAAGTGTCACAGTTATCGGGGGATATTTGCATGCATATATAGCGAGGATGAGGAGGTCCTTGTTAGCCCGGGGGCAATTAGACAATTTGTTGCACATACATAACACCGATAAATCAATATCGTCAATCTGCAGATAACACGGGTTACTAAAATCCATTCATTCCAGTTAGTTTCTGGGTTAACATTCAGCTTTGATTTGTATGCACCCTCAATCAAAGTTTGGAGTTTTTCCGTCCTCTTCCAGAAATTATTTTGCCTTATGCTTCTCAGTTTCCCCCCCCCCTCTCTGGACTGTGACACATGACT